GGTCTCCAGGTTGTTGAGGAAAACCTCAAAGTGGCTTAAACTCCGGGGAGAAGTAAACACCATATATGGTGATCCCCCCCACTCGGCAGCAACATATCCAGTGCCCTTGTCTCTTAACGACAAGGGCGGGGAGTGAGCCGCCGTTGAGCCAACGACTGCCACGGTACCGTCCCGGTCACCCAACCAGTTTGGACGGGGTGAAAACAGTTACCACTGGGCTTGCCTGTAAGACAATCCTAGCGTGAGTACAACATTTTTTTTTAGTAAATGTATGTTCTTCTGATTAGATCAATAATATGATAAACAATATATATTTTTTAAATTGGGTGATGTAAATTAGTTTGATTACTAGAGAGACTTTCTCTCTAGTAATCAAACTAGAACTTCGAATAATCGTATAAAATATATGACAATGGGTTTATAAAAAAGCATAGCATACACATGACGAAAGAATAAAAAATAATGAACAAAAGAGAAACAATGACACTTATTTGGTCTCCCAGCCTGGTCATGGACACTTAAACTTGATGAAAGATTCGAGGTGACGTTATAATATTATGTCGTTTGAGGTGGCGTGTTGACTTAGCAACGAGCACTGTTTTTCAACTTGTGCTTGTTAACGAGCATTGATGTAAGATTTGTACTAATCTTTTATTAACTAAAAGTTAAATGTAGATCGACACCATATCATACAATAAGTACATACATAAAAGTATCAATTAATACCTACCTACATATAAATAAATATTATCGTGTCATGTACCCATAAGATCACTATCCAACCAAGTACAAGCTACTTGAAAGCAAAGAAAAGAGTCAACAAACACAAGAGCCTTTTTTCTAAATCACCAGATAGTCTAACAATTTTTTAGTAAAACGTCATATCTAATACGAAATCAAGATTCAAAGTAAGCAAACTCAAATTAGACTATGGAAGAATAGGTACTAATAACTAAAAACGATAAAATTTAGTAAGCAAATAAAAACATCAAAGCGAGTAGATGAGTTACATACTAGATCATACTACACAATTATATGAGGTATTTGGAATAGCTTGTAAATGTAAAAATTTATTTATTTATTTATTTATTTTCTTTAAAAACAACTATTTTTACAGGCTTAGCCCAATGCAATAGTGTTATACGTGTGCGTTACCCCAGCAAAATAATGTCGAAAATGGTCATTTAAACGTTATAGATAATTAGTTGCTCCCCTTCTGTAATTGTTAAGCACATTTTTAAATTTGTTTCACTTAAACTTTTTTAGTTATTTCAAAAAAACATTTCCTGCTGGGGTAACGTTTGAAACGTTACCGCAGCCAGACATTTTCTTTTTTAATTGTAATATTGAAATAAATTTTAGCTAAATAATTAGTTATCTGGACTAGGTAAATGTTCCAACTTATTTGGTATTTGTATTTTCTTCGGCTGCGAAGTTATTCGAAATCCTGCTCGAGTAACGTTTGTGGGTTTGCTGGATCTCTGAAACGGGTAAGCGGATTGTAACCATCTTTTGTACATAACTTCTTAAGGATTAGTTTTAATTTGTTCGACAATAAAATAACAAAAATAATGGACCGTTTAAAAATTATTTAGGTAAGTATGAAAACACTTCAATACGTCCTAACACTTTAAATAAGACCTCTAAAGACTTACTTGAAACGTTATTCTATTGCTTGTAACGACCTTCAAATGTATACGAATTTTCGTAGGAATACTGTAAGTGACTAAAAAGTTATGATGAAATGTAGCTCTCCACGTTCACGATCACAATGTGTGCGGCCTTTTTTGGCCACCGATAAACCTGTGTGTGGATATATAAACTGAATGTTATGCCAATAATTAGTTGTTTAGTTCAGTTGTCTACCTGTAGAATTTCAGCGTCGTACATATAATAATTTACGAGATAATTAAATAAAAGTCATTAGAAGGTGCAAGTCCGTGGTAACCCGACCATGTTTAGGTGGTTACAATAAAGCGATCACCCAGTACATTGCGCTGTCTTTTAAAATGTTTAGTGTAATACACCTTACGATTTCGGTACAGTTGCGTACAGGTTTAAATACATTCAATGTTTATTCATTATTATTACCTATTATTTATTTTGTTTTTTTCCCTAATTGATCTTACGCACTAGTTTCTTTACTTAAAATTTATTTAGTCTTTTTTACTACCGGAGCTACAATCAACAGAAAATCTGCACTGGTCCGCTAAAATTATAAATATGTAGATACATGTATGAACGATTCACCTGACTGCAATAAAACTAAAATTTAAACCAATAAGAAATCGTTTCATTTCTTTGATTTTTTTTTTGTAAAGAAATAACACTAAAGTAATTGTATTTTATTTTGGGGTGTATAGAGCTTAGACTTGAATGCATCAAAATATTTAAAGCAACAAGTTATCTACAAAAAGTTAAAATAGACCGAATAGTAGAAGAATACAGTTGTAAATTAGAATGCATCAACATTGCATCGCCCAACAGACGTATACCTCGTAAGAGTAGGTAATATTGTTCTGTGGTCTATACCTAGAACCGAGAATTATCTATACCTATGTACCTACCGTTAAGCGATGAGCCAGTTACTGTTGATTTCTGTTAAAAACGAACGAGGAGGGGCGAAGGGATACTTCATTGTTTGCAATTTGCATCTAGTGCACTAAACTTGACCCTTAGGCAGATAATATACGTGTTGTAAAGTACGTGTGCGCTTCCGCTTTCTATTTTTGCAAATATTTATCGTATTCTTGAGAGTTCTTCAATATGTGTGTACCTAATTACTAATAATAGGCATTAATGCTAATTCGATTCAATTTAAGTAATTGTCAATTCTTGTCTTAGGATATTAATTACTAATGCTAATATTGAAATTTCGTTCAGGGTGAACAAATTAAAAACGATCATAACTTTTAGGTAGGTATATCACTTATTACTAATTTTACATAAATAATTTATTTTATTATAATTTAACTCACCGCGATTTTGTGATCAAATATTTTATTTTCTCCAACATTATTACAGAAATAATGCAATACAGAGTTTGTTCGCGATATGCTAGCCTAAGTCGATTCATCACTTAAAAAAATCCCCATCTATTCACAAAATACCTATTTACAACGCATACGTTACACTCTTCAAAACTTATCATTTCATTTCATTTCATATTTCTTAAATTACCTATACCTACCCTAAAATTAAACTTCAATTAACAAGTACTACGCAGGTACCAATTCTATGAACAACTATAAACAATTCACCTAAACATTACGAGAAAACAAAAGCATTCAAAACAATACCTAATCTCCCGGCTGATTACTAATTATGCAATAAACAATCCTAAATAAAAAATATTTAAAAAACATGTAGTTTTTTGTAACACTTATGTACATATCCGTAGTAAACTTGCAAATAATATCCTACATATTTTAAAAGCCAGCACAATGTACTGGGTGATCGCTTTTTTGTAACCACCTAAACATGGTCGGGTTACCACGGTCTTGCACCTTCTAATGACTTTTATTTAATTATTTCGTAAATTATTATCTGTACTACGCTGAAATTTTACAGGTACACAACTGAACTAAACAACTAATTATTGGCATAACATTCAGTTTATATATCCACACACAGGTTTATCGGTAGCCAAAAAAGGCCGCACACATTGTGATCGTGAACGTGGAGAGCTACATTTCATCATAACTTTTTAGTCCCTTACAGTATTCTTACGAAAATTCGTATACATTTGAAGGTAGTTACAAGCAATAGAATAACGTTTCAAGTAAGTCTTTAGAGGTCTTATTTAAAGTGTTAGGACGTATTGAAGTGTTTTCATACTTACCTAAATAATTTTTAAACGGTCCATTATTTTTGTTATTTTATTGTCGAACAAATTAAAACTAATCCTTAAGAAGTTATGTACAAAAGATGGTTACAATCCGCTTACCCGTTTCAGAGATACAGCAAACCCACAAACGTTACTCCAGCAGGATTTCGAATAACTTCGCAACCGAAGAAAATACAAATACCAAATAAGTTGTAACATTTACCTAGTCCAGATAACTAATTATTTAGCTAAAATTTATTTCAATATTACAATTAAAAAAGAAAATGTCTGGCTGCGGTAACGTTTCAAACGTTACTCCAGCAGGAAATGTTTTTTTGAAATAACTAAAAAAGTTGAAGTGAAACAAATTTTAAAATGTGCTTAACAATTACAGAAGGGGAGCAACTAATTATCTATAAAGTTTAAATGACCATTTTCGACATTATTTTGCTGGGGTAACGCACACGTGTTATACCACCTACTAATTTTTTATAAGAAATAATTCTTAATGCTGTTATTGTGAATTCACTCAGTGAGCAATAAAATAAATCTACTTCGTCCGCAATTATATTCAGAGTACGTAGTGCGCGCGTCAGCGGTGCTTCTCTCTGCAGGTTGGTGCGCCCGCACGGGACAGCCAGCCAAAATAATTGAGTCGCAAGCGTTTTTATTCCCCATAGTTAGTTTCTTCACATAAATAACAAAATACATAAACAGCCTTTAATAGTCCACTGCTGGACATAGGCCTCTCCTTAGAAAGGAGGTTTTGGCCTACTATACCACGCTGGCCGGACGGGTTGGTATAGGGTTTGTGTCAAGTTTTCTTTCTTTTTGCAGTGCTGGTGTCCTGCGCTGTTTTGCGCCCTTTGTCGGCTCTTACCACCAAGTAATAGGCTGGCTATTTGGAAATAAGTTTAATTTGCATCTATCAATGTAATATACAACGACACTGCCGTGTGGCTATGGTTAAAGTATCCGAAAACGTATACTAATGAATCGCCTATCATTACTATATCATGTTAATCAGGCAAAACATTGGAAATAAAAAAGTTCGATTTATAGGGTCAACATAATCGTTTTGGCGTGATCAAACGACCTCGAATTATAGTGTTCTTACAATCAAACTTGGCTGAGAGTTTGTGAAATAGTGATATAAAAAAAGTATTTTTTTCAGGTATTAGATATAGAAAATGGAAAAAAACTAGGTCCAAAGCAGGAAGGCGAATTGTGGATAAAGTCGCCGCTGCGTATGAAGGGCTACATGGGCGACCAATCCTCTAGTGACGCGTTGCTTGATAGTGAAGGGTATATTAGGACCGGCGACATTGGATACTACGACGAAGAAGGCTACTTTTACATCGTCGACAGACTAAAGGAACTCATAAAATACAAAGGTTTCCAGGTAACAAGTGAATGGATTGTTAATTTTCTTAGTAAATGGATTTCTCACAACAATCACTAACATTATAACTTTTCTCAAGGTTTTTTATTAATTTTGTTTTTTAGTCTGGTGTAATTTAATGTTTATGATTGTCTTGTAACCTTGAAAGCGGCTCACGACTGGTTAGTTACTACCTATAACTTATCTGCAATAATTTTATCATGATACAAACATGTAACACACAAAGGTATTAATTTCTCCCCTGATAAGATCTTTGAGTGCCTGCATACGAGTAGAACTAAGATAAATATATTTAGCCTTGTCTATCAAATATTTTTGTAACAATTAAGTTGTTGTTTATGTATATAGTCGGATGGACTTTAGTAAACACGCAGACTGTGGCTGATTTACAAATAGATTTAATATACCTCAACTAATTCCTCTAAGGTCTCTTACTGATAAATAAAAATTATTTCATCAGATTATGTAGAAAACTTTAGGTCTTCTTAACTGAATGGTCCAAATTTTTTTATCTATCACTGAAGGTGGCACCTGCAGAGTTAGAAGCGCTATTGTTGCAACACAAGGAGGTAGCCGATGTAGGTGTAATTGGACTACCTAATGAAGAAGCAGGAGAACTACCTATGGCGTTCGTTGTTCCTCAGGCGGGGTCGAAGGTTACGGAAAAAGATCTAGTTGAATTTGTCGCCTCAAAGGTAATACCACCCATATACTTATATTTTACATAATGTACATTATCTTTTGAGTTGAAGGTGTCGATGGTGGTCGGTAGTCATTTACCATCAGGTGAACCGTCTGCTCGTTTGTCCCCCCTCTTACATGAAAAAAATGCTCAATACATAAAAAACAATTTTATTTCTATCACATCATCATAGTAAATTATTTGTGTTTTAAATTATCCTATTTTACAGTCTGTCGAGTAGTTTGATTTGTAACTATGTATGTACAATGGTATACCATGCTAATGAAACAATTACTCTTGTTATCAGGTTTCTCCAGCTAAGAGACTGCGTGGTGGTGTGGTGTTTCTCAAAGAAATTCCTAAAAATGCTTCTGGTAAAATTTTGAGAAGGGAATTAAGAGCAATGTTACATAAGTATAAAAGTAAACTTTAATCGTAAGATTTAACAGTAACCTCATAATAATACAGCTGACCAAATAATAACACTTTTGTTTTTTTAATTATTGCAATCATTGTTGATTTTTTGTTACAAATATATAATAACAAGGGTAAAAAAATAGTTTTATTTATAATTTAGTTGCTCTAACTAAATATTTATTTATTAGTAAGTATATCCTTTAGCTCTTGTGGTATTCTGTTGAGAGCATAAGTGTGCAGTTCATTATTTACAGCTGCCAATACACCAGTTTTATTGGGATGTGTCACTGACGAGCCATATTTATAAAAGTTACCGCAAATGTCGGTTAACTTGCCGCCTGCTGCTGCTAGCACTGCTTCTGGGGCACAGGTATCCCATTTCTTGCATCCAGGACTTGCAAATACATATACAGAGGCTTTACCTTCCAACAGTAGTAGAACCTATAAAGATAAATACATTTAACAACTAAAGATATATTGCATGCAGATAATCCTCTGATGTGTTTTAACTTAGATGACACTTGAATAGTTAAAACTGGATTAATATATTACTGATTATGATATCAGACCAATTGAGTTAGGAAAAGTTAATATTTGTTTAGTGTACTTAAACTTTATTTAAGGGGACTGATCTGCTGCATTACATTATTGGGCAGTTTACACACAACAGTAAATAACTTGAAAACCATACCTTATAACCAGCACCACCAACTCGGAGAATTTGTGTTGCATTCATAACTTGCAATGCTTTCTCTACAGCAGGATTTGAATGGCTTCTAGTAGTGGTAATGACCAAAGAGTCAGGAGGTGGGGTAGGTGTAAACCCTCCTACACCTGCTTCTTGTAAACCCCAAATGGTTCTTCCTATTATCTTTTCAGAACCTACCATAGTTTTATAATAGGGCTGATGAATCACACCAGCCACAGGTTTGTCATTGACTGATATCCCAATCAAAACAGTCACATGTTCAAGGAATCCTACAATGATTTAAGTTGTTAATCATAAAACAAAAATTAAAATACATTGAATTCCTTGAATGTATGATAGTCCAACACCCCATGCCACATGCAATTGTGAATATTTTAATGTGTGAAAAGTGAAGGGAACATAATAATTTAAAAAAACAAGTAAACACACAGGTTATCTACTATTTCTACAACACATACATCCTAAGTAAAGTTTAGACTACCTGTACCAACTACAGTTTATTTTTTTAAGTTAACAGCTATTCATAACTTTAATTTACCATAATTTGATTGGAGTAAACTTAAATACCACTTCATACATATAAGTGGATGTGTTAAATACATTTTCCATCTGACCCATGGATCTCTCTTCAACATAAGGGCACCTAAAATTAATTTTGATATGTACAAAGTTTTTGAGTGTAAAATCATATAATAATGCATGTTTCTATACAAGGGTGTTGGCTGTCTTGAAAAAACAGATCAAGTTCAAACAAATAGCTAGTTACCTTGAGTATATTCTGAAGTACCATCCAGAGGGTCAACCCACACAACTATATCCTCCTCTTTGATACTCTGCAGATTAGCTGGGCACTTCAGAGACAGCAGTTCTTTGTCAGGCTCAGAAACTAGCCAATCATTAGCTATTTCACCCTGAAGTTGAAGTACAAATAACATGACTATCTTGTGTTATCTTCACTGACTTGTGCAGGTTTTTTAAGTAAGTTCAAGTAATAGAATCAATTCCACTCTTGTAACCAAACCCCTAAAATTGTCTGTAGTCAAGTATTTAAAATTAAAAAGTTTAACAGCTGTGCACACTTCACACTTACCTCATTTCCAGAAGACTCCTCCTCACCAATAATAGTTAGTTTAGGGTACTGAGCTGACAATGATGCAATGATACAGCGCTGTGCAGACCTATCAGCTTCTGTTTGGTAGTCATCTTTACCCTAAAATAATATATAAATTTAAGATGACTTTTTACTACCCCCAGTTAAAATCTCTTTAAAAATACAAAACAAATATGGTGTGAACATAGTTTCCCTCCAGGATGAAATCAGAAATAAGAAGTTAAAGAACAAGTTACTAATAGGATTCGTCACATAGACTGTAGAACAGAGGGCTGATGGGGCTGAAAGGCTCTGAAGAGAAAACTAAAAAGAACAACTGATTGATGGACAAAGCTGGACGGATGACCTATTATAAGTATGCAGAATGATGGTAAATACAAGCCACATCCAACTAGTCTTCTTGGAAGTCATATAGGGAGGCTTTTATCCCTTGGTGAACATCCTATATAATAGTGCTGTTGTCATTTTATGACTTCTCCGTGGTTAATGCCTGTATACTTTGGCGAAAGAATTAACTGCTATTAGCCATTTGGTAACTAGGTGATGTTGAACACTAAACTACTAAGAGATAATGTATTTAAATGCACATAGCAGAATCAGAAAGGTAGGAATTCATTATAATTATAATGCTAAACTAAAAAAAAACAGACAATTAGCAGTTAAAGTTGTTTAAACTCTTTGATCACCATAAAAATACATAACAGGATCAACATATCGAAATGAAGGTGAGGCAAAATAGAAAAAATATTAAAAGGTTTCATAAAAATGTGTAAATACTGTAAAGGAACTACAGAAAATAGATGATGAAAATCAATTGACACACACACACAGACATTGAATGAACGTATTTCGTTAATGTAATATTAGATAATTAGTTAGTACTGTACAACCTTTTCTATTATTCCCAGTTCTCCTTTACTCATTACATCTCGCACTATTTTACCAGCTCTGTGAGCTACTGACACCGACGACGCCAACAACCTTACAATAACAGGGACGCTACTAGACATAATTATTAATAAAGTACACCTAAATATGCCGCAATGACTTAGTTAAAAAATAAAAAAACTTTCCGATACACTTTATGTACACATATCTGTCCTATCGTCTACCGACACCTTTCAATTTTAATGAAACATGAAACTAGAACTAGTGAGTGAAGGGAATGAATGCGGACGCACGGTGTTGCTATTAGTTACAAATTGGATAATATATTAGTGGTGAAATATTTTTGAAAATCTACTACTACACTTGCTTAATCATACACTACTACTACACTTGCATAATCATGATCTTTTTACCCTTTTCCCAAATATAATAATATATCTCACACACTCACACACGGCCGTCTGATCCCAAACTAGGCAGAGCCTGTACTATGGTAACCAGACCGCTGATAAACATACTTATATATTTCTAAATACATACATATTATAGATAAATTACATCCAGACACAGAACAAATGACCGTGCTCATCACACAATATTTGTCCTGGGTGGGAATCGAACCCACGACCTCCGGTTTAGCAGTCAGGGTGACTAACCACTAGACCAACAGGCCCGTCAAATATATTTGAATTATGCTATAGACCTTGGGTACACTACGAGTAGTAGAAAGAAAGTGCTAAAAGTCCCCATCGATCCCATGTGCGCTAAAAAAGTTATTCAGGGTCAAAGGGTTAACATTTTCGTTTTTTTTTCTCGAAAACTTATCAATAACTAAACTTATAATATAGCAGACATAAATTGTAGATCATAAAATTGTCTACAAAAATGGTCCTGATACTTTTTTCCTAACAATCACTATTCCTAAGATACCGCGATTCTAAAAGATACCGTTAATCGTATCGCCTCGGTTTGAGTGCACCTCCCTAACTGCCTCAGCCAGTATCGGAATTCTAGGCATCGATTTATCGAGTGTAGTCCAGTTTCGGGGTCACTTAGAAGGTGAGGTCAAATTGGCCTGGAAGGAGCTTGGTGTGCAGATTGAGGCAATATATTACTCAGGCCCACCGCCTTCAGCTCTATAAGACGCAAGTCCAACCGCATATTATGGAATACTGTTCTCATCTCCCCGGGCACTCAAGAATTTGGGGTCCTGTTGGACAGCAAAACGAAAAAAATAATAATAATATTCTACCACAATCACACAACGCCATCTAGTCCCAAACTAAGCAGAGCTTGTACTATGGGTACTAGACAACTGATATAAATAAATATATATATTTTTTTTGTAACTACATACATATTATACATAGAAACACCCAGACCAAATCAAACATTAACCGTCTTATTATAAAACGTGGACTTAAAAAAGTACCGGCTTTAGTACTAGGTTTAAACCATGACCTTGAATAAACGTTATTACAAAACGAAGTTTATCGCTAGTCCTAGAACTATCTATGGTATCAAAGTTAGACCATCGTGACCCCTAGTTTAACTATGGTACTAAATTGTCAAACGTCAAATTCTTAATTTTGAGGTTCGCTTTCGGAAAGGAATTTGTGATCAGAAACCAAAAAATGGATATTGATGCAATTGATATGTTTGATTTGGAAGATTTGAATGTGTTGGATATACTAGAATATCGGATATCGTAGCTCGGTGGCGTGCCAGTGTCCATGATTCTAGAATCTTTAGGGAGTGTCGCTTGAAGCAAAGATTTGAATCTGGAGCGTTTTCTGGCATCCTCTTAGGAGACAGTGGATATCCGTGTACACCATACTTGTTTACCCCACTGCTGAACCCAAGAACAGAAGCAGAACAAAGGTATAACAGGAGCCATATCCATACACGGAACACTGTGGAAAAATGCTTTGGTCTGTGGAAGCAACGTTTCCGCTGCCTACTAAGATGCCTATTTCCTGATGATGTCAACAATGAGCAATCCTCTAGGGATTCAATACCAGTGCAGCCAGTTCAAAATTCACTACGAGGGAATATTAGAAGAAGGCAGTTTATTGAAACTCACTTGTCATAAAATAACATTTATTATATATAACTATATTTCTTTTTTGTGATATTCATGTATGTATATGTTTAATACATGTATTATATAAATGCTAAAATAAAAGCTAATGATCCTTTTTTAATAAAGTAAATCAAACATAAATAAAAGTAACTATTATCTTTAAGAAAATGCTAAAATCAGTCCTATAATACTAATGATTATTATAGGGAATATATAACCTGAAAATAATTATGTTATATTATTATGTGATTGTCAATATATTTGAAGTATTTAATCAATAGGAGATAGATTACATTAGTTATTTATTTGAAACTCTTGACTGAACAATTTATACTTATTTAACTTATTTATTTATTCATATAGGACAACTTACAAAACATACACTAATACATAATTTACAAACATGTTTTACAAATATTTTCTGAGTGTTGTCTTACTTACAAGTTGCCACGGCATGGTAAGGGACAGTTGCATCTATTCCTTAGTAATGGTGTTAGTTTTTATCTGAGTCTCCAATAGTGCTATTTGTAACTGTAGCTTTTTAATTTTTAATTTTGATATTTCAACCTGATAGAAGTGCTGGGCTTCCAACATATCAAGCTGTTTTTTTTTAAATTCTGTATTACTATTTATAATAGCTTGGCGCCCTTCTTCATTTCTGTAAAATAAATTCTATATTATTATGTAATAATTTGACTTATTATTTTAGTGTGGTAAGCTTTATTTATATTTTCGTGGTTCCTTGATTGAAATAAAATATATTCAGTATTATCACATTTATTTTAACAAACCTATTTAGGGAGGCGGTTTTCCCTTTTGGTTTATTTTCTTCTATTTCTACACTACTTTTTGTTTGCACAGTTTCACTGGTGTAGATCACTGAAAATAATAAATAATATTAATGAAACTAACCTGTATTTTTCTTATTATGAAATTATTATACCTTGTTTTTCTTCAATACTGGACTCTACATTTTCATCACTTATAATCACTACAATTGGTTCTATTGAGCTATGGCCAGCATCAGGGTCTTCCACTGTTTGTTGTTGTTATATTTGTCATCTGTAACAGGTAAATGTTTAGTAAATTGTCATCATATTATACTCTCCACTATTGTTAACTTTTACTTACCACTGCATCACTGTCACAGTCACACGTCTACAACAAAGTCATGAGGAGCAATAGCCATGACTTCCAGGTCCTCTGGAGAAGGTGACGGGGGCTTGTTGCCACCTCCTGTTTTAGACTGCTCTCTCCTGTGAAGAGACAAGTTTGCCTTGGCTGCCAACTTCATTCTCTTCCAAGCCAACTTTATCTCTTCTACAGAACGATTTTTTCCGGCGATTTGCTCACCACAAAGAATACTGTGCCCAAAGAATTGTGCCCTTAGGTACTTGTAGTAACAATAATCTTGAAGTGAAACCACAGTGAGGACATTTTTTTAGTTTAAGTTGTAACATAAACTTTTCGATTACATTACTCGAATTACGCGCGCCGTCCAGTTCACTCCGTTATACTCATACGTGCTAGCTCGGTAGTTGTTCCAAAACATAACATTAATAATTGGATTGTGAACATGCATTCAAAAAAATACAAGTCAGAATATTTAAATACCTTTAAATAACAAAACTTTAAATTTTACCCCTACAAATAACAATTCATAAAATATTTTTCTTTATATTTCGTAACAACATTTTGTAAAAAAGGAAAGGCGCGTAGAACGCTGAACGAATGAATGAATAATTTAAATATTTTGTTGCTTATAATCTGTGGAAAATGTTTAGTCCAGAGACGATCTTTGGTACTAAGTAGTCCTTTGTTGGTCTACGATTTGTAATAAGAATGAAAGAACTAACGTTAGTACCGTAATAAGCTTAGACCTTTTAGTCCTGGTTTAAACCTGGTACTTATGAAAGTTTTTATAATAAGACGGTAAATGTTCATGCACACAAATGCTTGACTTGAGCGGGAATCGAACCCACGTCTTTTGGAATAGCAGTCCGTTACACAAACCACTACGCCATTCGGTCGTCGCCAAATAAATAGATAGATAGACATATAGACACATATAGGTATAACAGATATAAATATACCTAGGTATTAATTAGATAAGCAGGCTTGAATGGATGGTTTTAATCGGTTACGATTACGACAATTATTTCTTTTAGGAGAATGGTTATGCAAAATATTTTGTCTGTCAAAGTCTATCACTTTCAGTTTTTACTTGAGGATATCAAAATTGATAACTAATGGTTAGGAATTATTGTAGAGGAAAGCGTAGTACGCGTAGAACCAATTGTTTTTATAATTGGTAAAATGGTTTTAGACAGGTGAACTTAAAACACGGACTACTTAAAACAATTTTAAAAAGGCTTTTTCTAGATTATTATATTTTACTAATTCCTTGTGAACTAGAACTAAAACTAGAACTATCGACCCATTTCCTTTAGGCACATCTACAAGCTGTTTTCAAGAGTCATCACGAACATTCTTTCAATTCTTTCTACAAAAGAATTCCAACCGTTGGAGCAAGCTGGGTTTTGGAGCAGATGGCACCATAGACCACATCCACATAATGCGGCAGATTATACAGAAGATCGAAAAATATAATCAGCGCCTGTGTCACCCAGCTTCTTATAGTCTACGAAACAAACATTCGTGTATTCACACGAATGTTTGTTAGAATGCCTTTGACCCAATCGAAATCTTGTCTGTTCTGGAGTCCTTGCAGCATTGCCAAGTAGATTGGCGATACATTAAAATGATGATATGTCTCTTCGAAGCCGCCACCATGTCTGTCCAAGTACAGAATCAGCAAACAAGGCCTATATCGTTGCATCGAGGAGTGAGACAAGGGGACGTCATTTCCCCGAAATTGTTCACAAATACAATGGAGGATATGTTCAAGAAGCTGCGAAACGTTTACACAAAATTATATGTATGTGTACTTCTAGTTTTATAGGTTTAAAATCTTTACAAATGTCAGAGAGATACAGTCTCAATTAAATACATGTTTTTATGTTTTAAACTACTAGGTTA